AATTTCTCTTGTTTATTAAGATAGGCCTGTAGTAATATAAATTTCCCTCTTATTACAGATTTTGCTGCATCCCAGAGGTTTTGATATATTGTATTATCATTGTCATATGTCTCTATATATCTTTTGATCTCATCTGTTATTTCTCTTTTGACCCAGTCATTTTTTTTTTTGTAGTATATTGTTTAATCTCCATGTATTTATAGGTGTTTTTTGTTTTCTTTTGTTTTTCTTCCTTTTTGCAGTTGGTTTCTAATTTCATGGCATCATGGTCAGAAAATATACTTAGAATAATTTCAATCTTTTTTAATTTGTTGATGCTTGTTCTGTGACCCAACATATGGTCTATCCTTGAGAATGTTCCATGTGCACTGGAGAAAAATGTATAGTCTGATGTTCTGGGTTGGAATATTCTGTAAATGTCGATTATGTCCATTTGGTCTAGTGTTTCATTTAAGGCTGATATTTCTTTATTGATTTTTTGTTTGGTTAATCTGTCTAGGGCTGTCAATAGAATATTACAGTCTCCAATCTAATTGTGTTTTGATCTGTTCCTCCCTTTAGTTCTTTGACTAGTTGTTTAATATATTTTGGTGCTCCCTGGTTGGGTGCATATATATTAAGAAGTGTTATGTTTTCTTGATGTAGTATTCCTTTATCATTATAACATATCAATCTTTGTCTCTTGCTATATTTGTAATCTTGAGATCTATTTTGTCAACTATAAGTATGGCTACCCCTGCTTTTTTGTGGATGTTATTTGCTTGGAGAATAATTTTCCACCTTTTTACTTTGAATCTACCTTTTTCTCTGCTGTTTAGATGTGTCTCTTGCAGGCAGAATATGGTTGGGTTTTGTTTTTTTCATCCACTCTGCTACTCTGTGACTCTTTACTGATGAATTTAGATTAGACCATTTACATTTAGGGTACTTATTGATGTCTGAGGATTTCTTATAGCCATTTTATCTTTTGTTTTCTGGTAATTCTGTGCCTCCATTGGTTCTTTTCCTTTATTCATCTACCTGTTGTTTTTGTTTGGTGGTATTCCATACGTTTTTCCTGTGTTTCCTCTTTTTTTAAGCTATATGTCTTGTTTGGGGAATTTCTGTGTGTGGTTGGCATTAGTTTTATAAAAAGTGAAGTTGCATATATACCATAGTGTTGTTTTTTTTTCCCTTTTGAGTGCATCTGATCTTCATCTTCCTTCGCTTGTTCATACCTGTCCCTCTTCTCCTTGTATATTTTTATTGTCACAAATTATTCCTATTTATGCTGTGAGTTTTTGGCAATCCTACTTATAGCATTATGACCTTATGTTCTTTGTTTCAGGTAGAATAACTCCCTTGAGTAGTTCTTGCAATGGAGGTTTTCTAGTGATAAAATTCCTCAGCTTCTGTATGTATGGAAATGTTCTTATTTCTCCTTCATATTTAAAGGATAATTTTGCTAGATATAATATGTGTGGCTGGTACTGTCTCTCTTTCAGACATTTGAATATTTGGTTCCACTCTCTTCTGGCTTATAGAGTTTCTGCTGAGAAATCCAGTGAAATCCTGATGGGTTTTCCTTTGTAGGTCACTTGCTTCTTTTCGCTGGATGATCTGAGGATTTATTCTTTGTCACTAATTTCTGACAGCTTCATTACCAAGTGCCTTGGAGAGGGCCTCTTTGGATTGATGTAACTGGGTGTTCTGTTTGCTTCTTGGATTTGAGGATCTAGTTCTTTCCATAGATTTGGGGACTTCTCATCCACCATTTGTTTTCATAGACTATCTATTCCATATGGTCTCTCTTCCTCCTCTGCTATGCCTATGATTCTGATGTTATTTATTTAATGGAATCAGAGAGGTCTTGTAGGGCTGTTTTGTATTTCTTTATTCTCAGGTTTCTCTCTTCTTCCCTCTGCATCATTTCTTGATTCCTGTCTTCAATATCACTAGTTCTTTCCTCTAAATGGTTGGTTCTGTTTTCTATGCACATCAGCTCACTCTTCATGTATTTAATTGCCTGGTTTATTTCCAGGATTTCTGCTATATTCTTTTTTAAAATTTACTTTTGTTCATTGATTTGTTTTTCTGAGTGTGTTTAATTGCCTGTCAGTATTTTCTCACATCTCATTAAATATTTTCAGAACCACAATCTTGAAATCTCTGTCATTCAACTCACATAATTCCATGTGTTCCAGCCTGTTTGGGGAAGATATTTTCATTTTCTTTCTGGTCATCCTTGTTGTGGTGGTTGTTCATGGTGTTCGCTATTCTTCTTTGTTTTCCCATTTATCTCTGAGGAGGTCTTTCTACTCTGTTCCACTTAATGTTGTTAAATTGCAAGATTTTTACCCTCTGTGGCCTCACAATTTTGAGCCTCTGTGACTTCTGTAGGGCTGTACAGCCTCTGCTGCTTGGGTGCGAGATTTGTTTTTCCCTCACAGAAATGGCAACCCTTCACCTCCAAGGGTCCAACCCAAGCACCCCTCCTGGGGCTCAGTCACAGAGGGAAACTGTGTTTCTACTGCAACAGCTCTTGGCCTACAGATAATACACTCCTGTAGCCAATTCCAAGGGCAACGGGAGGTGAGACCTGGAAGTTTAATCCGTGGCAGGGCTCTGCAATTTGTTTTCTTTGCCTGAAAGCCTGCAGCCAGGCCCAGCTGCTGGGAGCAACTCTGTAGGGAAGGTGTCTGCTGACTGGCAGCTCAAGCATGCAACTCAGGTCCCATTCACAACAGGCCCCATGGTTCAGACACTCTCTCTCTGTGTGCATGGCCACACAGTGCCCCCACGCCAGTGGCTACTCCAACGGCCAGCCACGCGCCGGGTTGGGTTAGCCCTCTGTGCATCCCATCGGCTGAGGAAAGTGCCCGTACCTGCTGCTGCCAGTTCCCGGTTACACTGCAGGAATGCCGCTGTGCTGTAGCCCTGTCCCGCTTCTCTCTCTTCTCCTCTCCCCGCCGACCCCAAGGAGCCCACCTTAGTTGTTTCAGTGTGCAGGTCGCTCAGCCGTGCATCCCTGTTGAGCAGGGACTTCTTTGTTGAATTATCGGTGGTTATTTTGTTTTAATGTTAGAGGGAGAGGATAGATGCGCCCTTACACCACCATTCCTCTGACATCACTGGCAAGAGTTAAGTGTTTTAAATATGTCACGTGATAATTACCTCAAAAATGCAGTGATAATTATATTATTTAATATAAAGTATCTGGATAAAGAAAACAATAACATTGGTAATTAACAAATAATAAAATGTTTAATTCATTAAAATAATTAATTTATAATGAAAATTTTCTAAAAAATAAAATTCACAGGACTTAATTAATGAAGAATATGTGAACTAGGGAAAGAAAATATCAACCTTAGGTACAAGGCCTTACAAAAATATTTTTAAAATAGAAAAGGCACTGGGTTTTTGGACAGGAATATGAAATATTTCAAAAAAATATCCATTTTTCTCCAAGTCAATGTGTTAATGAATATAATAAATTTTCAATAAAAATTTTCAACAAGCTATTTTAAATAAAACTATTCTGAAATGAAATTTTAAAATAAAATGAGTACGTATATCAAATAATTCTCTTAACAGAGTAAAGCAATATTAAGTAAAAGTGGGCAATAGGATAAATAAACTTTATTGTATGTTACATGTATAAAGAAACATTTTTTTTTTAAATAGTGTTGAACTTATGGGGAAAAATATACATTTAACAGTAGCCTTGCGTATATCACGTAGCTATTCATCTAAGGCAGTGGTTCTCAACCTTACTAATGCCGTGACCCTTTAATACAGTTCCTCATGTTGTGGCGACCCCCAATTTCATTGTTACAAATTGAACATAATTAAAGCATAGTGATTAATCACAAAAACAATATGCAATTATATATATGTTTTCTGATGGTCTTAGGCGACCCCAGTGAAAGGGGCGTTCAACCCCCAAAGGGGTCGCGACCCACAGGTTGAGAACCTCTGATCTAAGGAGACAGTCTGATTGGGAGCATACATTCTCCCGCAACACCCCCAGGCATCAATATAGTCTACAAGTATGATGAAGACAACTTGTCACACCAGTGGGGAAAAATAGGGCTTCTCCTCAAATGGTGTTGGGAGAAACATGATTCCAGAAATGAATGATTATCTTGTATAATAGGCAGAATATTCATAAGAGGTCATGTTTGTTTTTAAATAATATTTTCATTACAAAAAGAATTTGTGGTAATTTTTACTGGAACGGAAAGTGGCAAGGAGCACTAGGATCCCATATTCTTTCCAGAGACAATTATTATAATAGTTTTGGTGTGTCCCCTCCAATTCATATGAAATAAGCACCATTTCTTATTGTTGACCTAATATTTTACATCTAATTATAACTCTTGCATTTTCAATAAATATTCTTCTCATTTTCTATTTTATCACAAATATTTAATACCATTATTGACAATTATGTGAGATTCCATACTATTGATTCTTGATGGTTTTCTTTAAAAAGTTTTTTGGGGGGTGGGTATGGGCTATTTGAAGTTTCCTTTTTTTCATCTTTACTAAACATAATCTGTGAACAACTATGCACATGTTTGTTTGTGATTTTTTTTTTTTGGGTGTAAATGCAGGTTTTATTGTAGGTCTCTCTGTAGCTGAATAGAGGAATATTTGTTGGTCCCTTGGCTTTAGTTTGGCCACATTCTCTCAGAGATTTGCATCAGAGATAAAAATAAAAATGTTGATTTTTTTTTATTTTTTCCTTTCTATACATTGTTGTTTTATTTAGTATTAAAACAGTTCCAAAAGGAAGTGAGTAGTTTCATAGTTACTTAAAAGCAATCAATTACAGTTATTTTTACGGGGCTAATCAGTATCCTTTAAATGTGTAATCAAGTGGCAGCTGTAATTACTTGAGCTACTTGGCTCAGGCCTACAGCTGAATCTACAGAAATTCACCCACTTTTCTTTCCTGTTCCTTCAGAGACTGTAACTAAGGTGTTCTATTTTTTTTTTTTTTTCTCCTCATAAAGCTTAGTTTTGGAGGAATTCCAGTACCAGGCAAACCTGGGACCTTTTTAAAGAAAAACTTCCAGGGATGCATGGAAAATCTCTATTACAATGGAATCAACATAATTGACCTGGCTAAAAGGCGGAAGCATCAGATTTACACCGTGGTAAGTCGGCATCTTTTCAGCTTGGTGGTTTCTAACCCTTTACACATCCCACCCTTGGCACCTCTTCACCGTATGTTTATAATCCTTTTGGAGGCCCCATCCACCTCCATGGAGAGGGGAGGAGATGCAGGGACCGGGTCAGTGTGAATTACTTTACTGGGAGAAACCAAGGCATTAGAGGTGCCTGGGGAATTTCATGTTTCCGGCTATGATTTCTGTGGCAGCTGTGGGTAAGTTTTGCATTCTACACTGGGCCAACATGATTGTCTTTATTACCTGTGGGAAATGAAACAACAGAACCAGAGATTCTATCAAATTGTTATTGTTGATACTTAAAATAGGGCATTTTGAACGAGAAGTTAAACTTTTGGTGTTTTGAGATTCCCATTCAGCAAGTAAAATAAACTTTAATCACTAAATATTTCCCCTCTCCAACAGACAGTGAGTTTCCTGCAGAACAGGGCTGTCTTTTTCTTTGTCACTAGAGCATTTACAATGCCCTAGCAGGTGCCTTGCACATGGTTGGTGCTCACTAATGCTATTTCCAGCCATACCTGCCAATTTGTCGATTTCTCCTTCCAGTTCTGTCAGTTGGGGGGTCCATGTGTACAACTCAGTGGTTCAGTGGGAACAGTAAAGGTTGTCTCTTCCTCATGGATTGGCCATTTTATCAATACATCATGCTCTTTTCTGTCTATGATAACTGTCTTTCCTTGTTATCACTGGGCTGCAGTGAAAGTCCTGGCCTGTCACTGAGCCTTCTCTGATGCCATCCCTGCAGGGACTGGGTGGGGTCCCTCCTTACTGCTGAGTCCTGTCCTAGACATGTGGTCTCCACTGGTCTCACAGGAGAGGCTTCCTAGGTCTGCAAGGGTTGAAGTCCAGCTCCATACTTAGTCTCCCTGACACCTGGCTGGGAGGTCTGGGCGCCTTGGGGTAGCCTGGCGGGTCGTGGGTGGTGGGGCCCTGCTGTGTCTGTGGTGCTTGGCCGGCGTAGAGCAATTATCATGTGAAGGTTTCTGAGGCACTGTGCTTCCTTTTCCTGGCCCTTTGATGACAGAGAACAGACTTCTAATGTAGATTTCATCCTATACCAGTTGCTCTGGGTTGCTAGCTTCTTCAGCAACAAGTTTGGGACACATAAGGACAAAAGAACACCTAGGGAGCTCACCCTCTTGTCCTTTGGGCCTCAAAACACTTACATATACTGGCTTTCTTCTCTCCACTGTTCATATTCTTAGTTCTCTTTTACACATAATGTTTGGAGGTTTTTCGTTGTACTTTGTGGTAGAAATAAGGAAAATCATACTATTTCATCTTCCCAGAAGCAGAAGTTCCTTAACTGACATGCATTTAAAAACCCACGACAAGCTCTGGCCATCCTGTCATTGACAGGAAAAACCGGATTCTCTTTGCGATCTGGTCACTGGGCCATCTGGTCAAACTGAGATTTACATGACCTTTAAGTGCATTGCTTTCCTGTGATGAGTATAAGCTCTAACTGAAATTTCTATTTTGGGGCTCCATAAGTTAGCACATTTGTTAATGTGCCCATTGGATTCCAGCGTGTGAGGCAAGGTTATTTGGGGGAAATCGCACTTGGATTAAAGTTGTCAACATTTTAAGAAGTTTATGCCAAATGCCTGACTGTTATTCAGTCAGACTGAAGAGTGTGGATGATGCTAAGGGGTTTAGTTCCCTGCCTGTGGTTCTAGGAGATTCTGGCCCAGCCCTTGGCTCCGGACAACTCTCCCACCACATGTGCTTAGGCTCCTGTCTCCTCATGAAGCTAAGCATTAGCTTGCTAATGACTCTTCCCCTGTGTCGAGGCCAGGAGACAGGAGCCATGTCATACATACAATGCTATCCATCCCCCAATGTTACGCCCAGGAGACATTTTATAAGATACCAGTTTCACCGAGCTCCACCTGCCAATGCAGTGGATCACACCCGCTAGAAGTGTAGCTTAGGTGACTGTCCTGACCATCCGCACACTGGGAAGGCAGTGCAGCTCTGCCTGATGCAGGGCCTGTTGCAATGCCTGCTGCAGTGCCCGCTGCAGTGCTAGGAGCTGGCAGGGCAATTTGGAAAACAAGGAGCTGAGCAAACCTTGCTCACTGTCACTGCCCAGCACCTGAGCTCCTCCTCCTCCAATGCCTGAGCTCAGCTGTCAATCAGGTCCCTGTGGCAACATTCCCGAAGAAGTCTTTGTAGATATTATGTATTAGAAATATTTTAATCAGATATATTAGATAAGTCACTGAGTTTGTGGTGCAGAAAAAAGAGAAATAAGGAAGGACAAGGAAAAACCCCATGAATTTCAAAATATTGGCAAACTTACCTCTTTTTTGTGAGAATCATTAACTAAAAATGTAATAAATGTTTTGCTGAGTTTAAACTACCAAAGCACTTGCCAAGTTTCCTAAAACTCTGCTAGCATACTTTATTCCTCAGAGCCTAATTGGTGTTATTATTATTAGGAGGCACAAAGACTCCATTCAGTACTAATGTACTTGCAAAAAAATCCCAAGAAAACTGTTTTACTTTATAGGTAGACAACCTTTAGTTTTAACCTTCATAATTTAAATGGAAAAAAAACCCATATTTTTCTTCCAAATAACTTTCATCACCTTGGTTAAGTGGGACTGTAGATCACTACACACACACACACACACACACACACACACACACACACACACACACAAAGGTATACCCAAGTCTTTTTTCCGCCTTTAGAATTCCATGTGGGAAAAAATGGTTTGTACTCATAATTACAACATCTTTTATTTCCCTAGCCAGGCTTAAAGTTTCCCCAAGACACAGTATCAGCTACAAAGTCAGCTTCACTCCAAGTCCCTGAGTCACCTCTGTGCTAAGTGAGGACCTTTAAAGGAATGGTGTTTGGTCCTTTTCCAGTGCCCACCGTTGTTCTCCCAGGCCTGGTGATTTCAGAGTTTGTGGGAGACTCAGGAGCCAACACAATGCTGTGCATGTATGATGATGCCCATGCATTACAAAATGTGATGCGAGGCTCCAGGGAGCACAGCTGAGCTGCATTCAGCTCCGGCCCCTCCAGTGGCTGAAGTAGCAGCGTCCCCCATGCAATCTGTCATTCCCTCCTTGTGGGACCTGCCCACTCCCTAGAGATTGAGTAGCTGCTCCACCGGGATAATTGGATTTAGTCTTTATAGCTTTATTTGACTATAAGATGATCTTCCACATCCAGAAATGCAGTAAAACTAACAGCTTAAAATAGACATAAAAAACACCTCCCTATTCTTCCTCAAATCTTTCATCCTATGCTAATGTACCGCTATATAATAAACTATCAGGAAGTGAATGGCCCATTGAAATGTGTGTACAGTACCTGTAATGGGTGTTACTGTATAAATAAGAAAATATTGCCCTGCTAGTTTCCTGAGAATGATTAATTTCATACCTTCCACTTCATAATAAATGATGCTTTCTGATTGTTACATCACCTCTCCCAGAGGCAAGGGGAATTCTATGATTGTCTAGGAGTTGGTTGGAGTCTCACCAATTTATTTTATTGTAGAATTTAAAATGATTTTTTTTATTTAAAAAAAAGAGCATAGTAAAAATGTTCATGTTAATGTGCTTTGATTTCAATAGAAGGGAAGACAAAATAAAATGGTTATAGTAGAGCTCTGGTTACAAAGCTCCATTGGCTTTGGAGCTAACTGACCATGTCAATTCACCTCTTTGCCTTTGTCTCCAAATAATGGAAATCAAGGCAATGGATGGGCGATGGCCGATACGAAGCATTTACAATGATGCCCACACCATTATGGCTAAAATTGCTAAACAGTCTAGAGGGAAGCAGCACAGTCTTCTCAGCTCACTGCTCCTGGCAGCACCAGAGTAACATAAGGGGTGATGAACTGCTTAGGTTCCTAGTCCCCAATCCATGCTCTCTCTTAAATATCTTAAATGATATTAAATAAAATTAAAGATGTAAAATAGGGACAGTTATAGAATCAAACTAAAAGTGTTATTGTGAAGATTGACTCTGTATTTGGCACAATACAAGGCCCACCACAGTAAGCACTCAAAAATTTGGACCTGTTATTAAGAAAAATTTCTACTCCTCCATTTGACTGAAGTAGGCATGCAAATGAGTATTTATTTGTCATCTTAGATAGACAATTGATGAATCACATACAATTTGCATTCTATAATCAAAGTAGATTTGAGAGAGCTCATGTTTTACCTCCAGAGTCTGAAGATTAGTTTACTCAAATACTGTATAAATTATTAAGTGAGTTTTGGGTTAAAGATATTACAAAACTTATTCATCTCATTCATTTGAGAGAATTTAATGACCAGTTCTAGACCAGACTTGCTTAAATGATGTGCTCCTATAAAAATACAGCCTTTAGAAAAGACGTTACCCTGTGGACTGGGAATAATAAACATACTAAGTAACAGTGGGGGAAGGGGAAGTTTATTACCTTCTGTATCCCTCTCTCAGTCATTCACCTTATTAGAGCATAATTGTTTATTGGAGCATAATTGTTTATTTCTTGCAGTTCTGAAGCCAAAGAAATGCACTCAGAAACTTATAAGTGTACAGATGACAACAGACACACATTCACATCTGAAGTCACACACACACACACACACACACACACACACACGTCTAGCAACCTTTGTCTTACCTTCCTATGACCCAGAAGCTCATGAAAATTGCTCAGCGAAAACTCCCTTGTGTCTAGTGAAGCCTATAATCTCTTGAGCTTGTTCCTGGGATCATGTTTCATCACTGGAGCCTGCTCTGTGATAAATTATACTTTGCTTTGATGGAAGACATCATTTGAAAAAGCACTGACATATCATGTCTTCTCTCAGAGCACTCCTGCTGTCTCCCATGGCCATTGACCAGCCTGACATTCACGTCACCTGCTTCTACACCGTATGCTCCTCATTCCCTGAAAAAATTATTTCCAAGTTATTAGCATCCAGAGGAGTTACTTCCTTTC